TGATAGCGAGCAATGGCTGACAGACGCACTTTGTGCAATTTTTTGCTAAGGCAACTACCCTTGGTACTAGTTGCCAAGACGAGAGTTTCGAAGTCCCGCCCCCCCTCCATTCCGAGCATCAGTTCACGGTGCCGTAAAATCAAACGCCTCTATCTGGAGAGCGATTTCCGCTCCATAACTTCTTCATCTCCTGGTCCACACCCAACATTTCTGTACCAAATAGTCTCACTCTCCCACCCTCTCGTACAAAGGCCTGATTGGCTTGTCTCCAGTCTGCAGATCTCGCTCTGTTCGCCCAACAATCAGGCTCTCCACTTCCGGCGCCTATACATACTGCCCAACATGAAGGCGTGCAAGACTGGCTACAATCGTGGCCGGTTATGAGCGTCAGCAAGTTGAAACTTTTATATTGTCTGTAGGCTCGTCGTTTTCACCGAAAAAGACATCAAAATGTCGTAAAATTATCACCGCTTCTCCGACGCCTGACATATTGTCAACACAATAACAAGGGCATGGGCGGAGGATTAAGATGAGGAGGGGAGAAAAGTGGTGTTAGTGGATAAGAGTACGTCAAGATTCAACCAAGGCTCCAGTCCACATGTATGCACATGCATTGAAATCATGACGAACTAACAAGAACATGATCGCCCTAGCTCGATTCAGGTTATTGGAGTTTTCCACAGAGATCACTTTTGACTTCATAAGCTCATGCTTGGGATAACAAGTAACATTTAAAAATATATTATCTAAAGTTGGCGGGAATATTAACAATTTATTTGTTGCTGGTGAGAGACGGGATTAATATAAAAACCCCATTCGAGAAAGTGACAAGTAAAGCCGAGACTTCGAGACCAAATTTCAAAAATTAACCTGATGGAAATGGATGTAAAAAATGTAAGGAAGAATGTCTTTCGTACGAAAATCTTGGTTGCTCAAAAAGGAAGTGTGATGTTAGGTCTCACTTGCCTACTTTTTACCTGCAGCTCCACGATAAAGATGTAGTCGTAAGGTCGAAATGATATCCACAAAAGAGCTTGTTGATGTGAAACTTTATGCAGTAATTAAAACTTCCAGATTCCTAATCAGTTCAA